AAGGTAAAGTATCTCTGAATTTGTTCATCAGCTTCTCAGTCCTTGGCTCTTATGCTGCTTTTGGTGGGTGTAGGATAGGTTTATAGTACTAAATCTTCCAGCATTTACAAGCTGAATCCATCCTGTGACTAAGCTAAACAGGTAGGCTCTCAAGTACCATGGTAAGACAGGTTTCGCAGATTTTTTTTTTTAAACCATTGGCTGTGGCTTTTTTTCTGAACCACTCCCAGGAAGGCTTGGTGAAGAGGCGATGATTGTGTGACATATCTGTATCAGAGAGTTGGATGCTTCCAGGAACCCTGATAATGCTGAGTGCTTTGTAGGTGTTGAATGCTAAAACAAACAAATGGGTCTCACACCTGCTGATTTCCTGAGCAGCTAACATAAAGTATCACAGCAATCTTCCAGTTACATCCCTCTCTCTTTCTGTCCAGCTGCAACCCTGAAGTAGGCTGATCTACAAAACTGGAATTCCTAGTCAGAAACTGCACCCTGAGCTTAGAAACTGAAGTCATGCCTTTGAAAACCAGAGGAAACAGTGGAGCAGTCGCTCAGCACCGAGGGGTGCTGCTGTTGCCTCCTGCCCTGTCTTTCAGACCATAGCACCCACTTCTGCGCTGGGGGATTTCTCCAAATATGATGAACTGGGACATCAAATCCAATACTCCAATTACCACAGAAGTGCCCCAACCACAAAACTATAGGCTATTTTGGGGGTTACACTGCTGCCTGTCCTGCTCCAGAGCTGGATTGCTTTCAAGAATGCGTGAGTTATAGGGCCAGAAGGTCGGTATGCAAGAGGGAGCCTGCCTTGGTAGATATTTTATGTTACACAGTAATTGGATACAAACAAGAAATAAAGCTAAGGGCAGACACAGTGATCCTGGATCTTCCCCTCCTAGCTAAGCGCCCTAACCTCTCTGGATTACAGAGCTGGATCTTGGCATTCTTGCCTCCTTGGCCAAGGATTTTTTACACTCCTGGGTACCTGATAGCCCAGCTTCAGCATGATGGGTTTGATGAGTTTATGAACTCATACTAGATGCTGATGTTCTTTTGTCAAAGAGATAAAAACTTAGCATGTGAAATGTAAATGCAACTAGGCCTTGTTTGGTGTCTAATCTAAGGTTAAGTTATTTTCTGCACCAGCTCACGCGCTGGAAAAAAGGGGTGGGGGGAACTGGCAGCAGCTGGCAATGATGCTTGAAGAAGCTGAAAACTGCCACATGGGAGCTTCCACCAGCTCTGCCATGGGGACCCCCCAGTGCAGCGGGAATGGTGGGCCCAAGCTGGCATTTGTGCAAGTCTTAGAGGCGTTGGTCTGTTGAGGCAGTTCTCGCTTGCCTGGTCTCAGCCACATGCTGTTCAATTCTGTGACATCTAAGTAAGTAGGACAGAACTGCTCTGTTCTTGCCAGAAGCCAGATTCTTCTCCAGTACGTTTTGTGTTTCTTCTCATCCTGCTCTGTCTGCAGACAGACAGCATTCACCATGTTGCTTTGCATTCAGATTGAGTTTACCAAAATGTTCTGTTTCTCTGAGAATACTAGGGTTTCTCTTCTCTTTGCATGTGAGCACGGAAAATATATGTAGTCCTTGGCATGTTGCTGGCACCAGGTGACCTTGTTTGCACCCTTACTTGCTTGAATAGGGGGTTTGTGTGCTAGGGCTTAGAAAGAGGTGATTTGCAGGCTAGTAAGGGGCAACCCTGTGATTAGAAATTCCACGATCTGACAGGATGCACATTTGACCTGCTAGTGTAAAATAGATTATTATTCTATTATGTAAACATTTTAAGGTACAGGTTTGATAAGGATCGACGACAGAAATAGGTGGTGCATTCCTACCTGTCTGTAGAAGTACTTGCTAACATGTACTGTAGCGTTTGGTTTATAACCTTACAATAGTGGCTTTGATTAATAATGCTTTATTAGTTATAAACATAGACTTACTGAATAAATCCTACTTACTCTGTTGAATGGCTCTCCATGCCTACATAAAACTATTTCAGTAATTAGAAAGCTACTATAATATTTCTCTATATTGTAGTGTTTGAGTTATTAGCTCTCTGTCAGCTTTCCTGAATTCCTACATAGGATTTTTACTTGACCCCATCCTTGACACGAAAGGGAAACAGTTTCAACTTGCATTTTGTGATGAGAAAGGGTGGGTGTGGTAAGACAGGCTTTCCCAAAGAAAAGAGGAAGGAATGGGGGAAAGACTGTGTCTCTCCTGATGTGCCTCTGGACCTGTACCATCCTCTTCCCCACCAGGATCAGAGAAATGAGACCAGAGAGGCAATACCGCTGCTGAAAAGGACCAAATTCCCTCCCTGAAGGACAGTAGAATTATCACAATTGCTTTGTGGACTTGCGTTTCAAGAGAAAAGCAGAAGAGTATGCCTGAGGAGAGTTGGCATAAGGCATCTTGTGGAGAGCTCACCTATGTCTTTTTCTAGAAGATGTAGGCTTGTAACTCCTGGGGTTTTTCCTCCCCTTTCTATGTAAAACACAAAGCAGTGCAGATCAGTTGTTTTATCGACTACTGAAATGCAGCCATCAGTGCAGAATAACATGAGAACAGTTTGAAAGGAAGCGTGGAACACTATATTCAACTGAAACTAATTACCTGATTAGGTTTTGGCCTGGCTGTGTGGGTTGACATCCAATGGTCTTGGCGACAATACCTGCAAGCAAAGCCAAGTCTAGTCTTGCTTCATTTAAAGACTCTGGACAAAACTTCTGGACTCGTGTGCTGAATGCTAAGCAGTGTGAAAATAGGCCACTGATTTAAAGTACCCATGGCTACAATGGGTGTCAGTGGGCAGCTGGCGTGGTTGCAGATGAATGAGTTTATCTGGTTTTTAGAAATACTGGTTTCTATTTAAAGGTGATTCTGTTTCAAGTGCACAATCTGGTGAAATTTAACTCTGCATCGGAACATCCTCCATTCATAGCTATAGGATTAGCACTTTCCTTTCCTTCAGCACTTCTGTCCTGGTTTCAGCTGGGATGGAGTTAATTTTCTTCCTGGTAGCTGGTATAGTGCTGTGTTTTGGATTTAGTATGAGAATAATGTTGATAACACACTGATGTTTTAGTTGTTGCTAAGTAGTGCTTACACCAGTCAAGGACTTTTCAGCTTCTTGTGCTCTACATGGCGCACAGGAAGCTGGGAGGGGGCACAGCCAGGGGGCCTGACCCACATTGGCCACAGGGCTATTCCACACCATATGACGTCATGCTCAGTATATAACTGGGGCGAGTTGGCCGGGGGGGAAGGGATTGCTGCTCGGGAACAGGCTGGGCATCAGTCAGTCATGAGTTTTTTCATTTTTACCCTTCCAGTTCTCTCCCCCATCTTACTGGGGGGAGTGAGCGAGTGGCTGTGTGGTGCTTAGGTGCTGGCTGGGGTTAAACCACGACAACTTTAAACTTCTCCCCTTAGAAATTTAGTCAGACACTGATATCTCATAAACTTAGAAAATCACCTAAAGGGATGTTATCTCACCTAGTCTGCTACAGTAGTTCCTTTTCTTTATCTCCATAGGGGTTAAATACATTAGGTCTGCTTTGTTAGGTGAGAAGTATTTGTAATTGCTGTTGTTATCTTCTCTTGCACATTTGCTGCAAACACTTCTTTGATCTGTTGGTGTCTTTGTTTGGAAAATGGCATGTTTTCATGTTAGGAGTAGCTATGCAACATCTCAAGTGTCTATAGTGTTAGACATATCTATGTTTACCAGTATGATGGTATTTTTTTGTCTTGGCATCACTCTAAAGGAAAAAACAATCATTACTTGGAAGGATTTGAAGCTTTACTGGGAAGAGAGGGATAAGTCTTTCATCTGTACGCTCTTATAAAAATACAGTCCATTAAGAACAAAGGTGAGCAGAGCACTTTTAGAAAGACTTGAAGTGTCCTTGCCTCCGACCGGGAAGCTTTTGTGCTGCACGCACTTCTGGCACCCTAGAGACCCTCTGTTCTCCCTTCCCAGGGAGAACGATGTAAAATGAACTGTCAAATGAGTTGTGGCAGTTCACTGGTGAGCATTGACTTTATGAGGAAATTTAGTACGTCTATTCTGATATCCTGGAAGTGCATCGAGACACATTACTAAAACGAATTGGACAAGTGGTTGATGAAAATCCAAGAACTGGTAAGAGATGCTCCACAGAACAAGAAATCCTAATAGACAACCATAGGAAAAAAATATTTTTGCCAACTGGCTGACTACTTTAACTTAGCAACTGGCTTATGCTCTACCCTATTCCTTAACATCTAAAATAAATATTGAATTCTCTCCTGTTTACAAACCTTCTTAAACCATTTGACTAGGAGGCATTGCAGTAATGAAATCCTCAAAGTTGTGTTTAAGCATTTCCTCTTACTGCAAGAATAAATCCATCAAGTTTTCGGCCTCCCACAAAGACAACAAATGCAAGCCTGTAAGTAAGTGCCATAAAAACCCCAAGAAACTTCAGAAGCAATTTAAAATAATAAAAATACACTTTTGGACACCTCTCACTACTTCTGTGTGCAACGAGGCTGTGCAGGGACTCAGGGGCTGGAGAGGCAGATGGGAGTTCACCTTGTGTAACCTGGTATTCCCTTCCCCTTGTCCCGCCGTCCCCAAATCAGCTGTCACAGTATTGGCAGGAGTTTCCTGAGCCTTCACTAGCCAGGAGTTTGCCCAGCTGTTTGGCCCAGGATTTCAGAGAAGGAAGAAACATTTTTGGCTGAAGCTTCTGTAAAATCACTGCTTCAGCAATCAAAGGAGGAGTGTCCCTGTGGGGGAAAAAGAGTAGTTGGAGAGCTTCTGGCCTCTTCATGATAAATAATCACCCTAGAGTAGAGCTAATCTCCTAGGAAAAGTGTTGGGATTACAAAGGTGGTAAGATCTCCACTTCATCGAAAAGCATGTGTAAAGTTCAACTCCATTACAATTCTGTGGTTTGAAAATGTGTCTCTCTTAACATCTACTTGTGTTGCCGTTGCAGGATGATTTGGAAATTTGCCTTGTCCGTTTTTCTGATGGCAGCGCTGGTTCGAGTAACAGACACCAGGAAAAACCGTCCTGCAGGCGCCATTCCCTCCCCTTACAAAGACAGCAGCAGCAACCACTCGGAGCGGAGGCAGCAGCTGAATAAGGAGGTGCTGGCCTCCAGCCAGGAGGCCCTCGTGGTCACCGAAAGGAAGTACCTCAAGAGCGACTGGTGCAAGACGCAGCCCCTGCGGCAGACTGTCAGTGAGGAGGGCTGCATAAGCCGCACCATCATCAACCGCTTTTGCTATGGGCAGTGCAACTCCTTCTACATACCACGGCACGTGAAAAAGGAGGAGGAGTCCTTCCAGTCCTGTGCTTTCTGCAAGCCACACAAGGTCACCTCTTCGACCGTGCAGCTGGAGTGCCCTGAGCTGGACCCACCTTTCCGACTCAAGAAAATTCAGAAGGTCAAGCAGTGCCGGTGCATGTCTGTGAATCTTAACAACTCGGGCAAACTGTGAGAGCAGGCATGTAGCTACTGCTTGGTGTTGCCTCCATCAGATTTACTGCTGCCTCTCCTCTCCCACTGAGCAGACTGTCCATTTTGTTGGTTTGTTTCTTCTTTTCCTTTTTTTTGTGTTTCGTTTTCTTTCAGGAGGCATCTCTCCAGCAAGGAAAGGCTCCTTGTCGCTTGCCTACTGGAATAACACTTTTTAATGGGCTGTGTTAGGCACTTCACCATAAAGTTTCATTGTATTTCCAATATCATCTGGTGGTTGAATCTTCTGGAGTGGAGCAGGCTCACAGAAGTTGGGATTGATCATCTAAGTGACCCGTTGGCTGAAACCAGCATTAAATGTTTCCACTGTGTGGAGTAAAGCCCTCTGCCCTACACTCCAGTCCCCTCTGCAAGACGAGAGCACCTTCCCCGTGCTTTGATCTGGAGCTTGTGGGTCCCACTGGGAAGTGCTGGGGTGCTGCCCAGGACCGGGGGACGCAGACGAGGGAGAGTAATGAGGAGTAACGTGTGAAAAGCAAGCGAGACTCTCCGATGAGGCTCGTCTCCTTAAGACAACTTGGATTGTGCAATGACAAACGGTTCTGGGCTTGTTGTCTGAACGGCAGATAAGAAGCGAGGGGGAGAGGGCGAGGCGCTGGGTCAGCCACCATGACCACAGAGCAGACTGAGGATGGGTTCTGATGCTGTTGTGGTTAGAGTATATTGAACACGTGGTCTCTGCAGCAGTGTTTATTTTGTAACCTAGCTATAGTAAACAGCTGTTTAAAGTATTATAGACCTAGCCATGTATATTTTTCTTGTGGCAGAATATGCCAGAGATTAAAATATGTTGAGTAAGAAAGAGACTCGGTTGCTAGGTCAGCTGCCTGGCTTAAAATGGACATGGTTTAACAAGGCTTTTGGTAGGTTTTTGTGTGTTAGATACATGTGTGTGTCTTACTCCAAAAAAGGACAACATCCATTTATGACCTTATATTTATGCCTGCTCAGACCGGGGAAGGTGGGAGGGTAGTGGCAGAGAAGCTGAGAACACTTAAGGGAACGATGTTTCCCCTAAGGTATAAAAGCACTGTCGCACAAAGGACAAAATCTGGTCCTTGCTGGACTGAATACAAAAGCTGCATCAGTGTTATCAGGTTTTGGGAGTGGTGTCTCTCCCATGATTGGAAACCATGTTAATGTGTTAGTGTTAAAGGACAATCCCATCAGTCAGTGCCGCTGGAATGAGTCACAGCTGTAGGAGCAGGGAGAGAGTAAGTCATAATTGCCACAGTACTGGTGGTCCATTCAGTTTTTGAGTTCTACATAATCAGTGTTCGTGAACACTTGCAGTTCATTTTAAATCATACTACGTTGTTATTCAGTTGATGGAGTTTAGCATGTCCTGTATATCCCGTTTGTTACAGTTCTGATCTGTATTAGTCCCAGCTGCATTAAAATCCTATGTCTCAAAAACAAACCAGCCCCTTCCCCCAAACCAAAGCCGGTGCCTGCTCAATTGTCTGAAGCTTACAAATTAAAAATGACACGCCGACTCCCTGATGCATGTTTCACAGTTCAGCATCTGCATCTAGTGAAACCAGCTTGCTGTGGGAGCCCTTTCCCGCCAGCCTCTTCACACGCAGCCACTTCAAGGGGTTAATGTGTTTAGCACTCTCGCCAGCCAGGGGTTCAGTGCCACAGGTCTCTATTATGTGAGACAGGCTGCTCTAAGAGGCTTTCAGGACTGAGCTCCATGAGAGCTCACCAAGCGGTTTATGGGGATTGGCACGGGCAGGATGAGGTTGGTCAGGTCTGTTAGCCCTATTACGTGAACGGCCATGGCTTTTTGGCCGCGATCTTTCAGCATGTCAGAAGTGCACAGGGCGACTCGTCACGCAGGGATTGCTTTAGAGGCTGTCGCTGCTGCGCTGCCAGCATCATGCCAGCCACCGAACAGGCACCATTCAGTCTTGGCTTGAGAGTGTTGCGGGGCGGGGGGGGGGAAGGTGGCAATAGCTGTAGTCTACTAAGACTCCAGGGATCTCAGTCTCCACTTGAAAGAAATGAACTGAAAGTCAGGCATTTTGGACTAGAGAGAGAAAAGCACACTAGTAACTTCACTTAAGAAAAATGTGCAAGAATCTTTATCTTTAAGCTATGCCCTGCCTGGGTTTTTCACCAGTTTGCAATATGAATATGCTGCAGCTTAAAGCTCCTTCTAGGAGCTGTGTTTATGTAAAAACTGAGTTGAGCTTGTAATGGTTAAAACTGTATTTAATTCTTGTTTTATAAATGAAAACAAAAAATGAAGAAATGCTTTAAGTATAATGTAATTATTTTATAGGTCTACTATTAAATTATAGATTAAATAATAAAGCTACTCTAGGGTTATATGGCATCCAGGTGTATGAGATTTGCTTCAACACCTTGTGTCCAACTGCTCTCTAATCATAAGTATATTCTCCGGCTTCCATTTGACCCTACCAGATACAGGTAAATGTCGGCTCACCCTGACAGCTTAGGAAAACCTAGCTACTTCTTCCCTTGTCCCCTACCCCCCTCAAAAGTACCTGCAAGGCAAGAGGGAAAAATAAATTGCACTAACCCTAGATTCTGGAGTTGATTCTGCAGGCGCAAATTCTGTTTTTCTGGTTAACTGACAAGAAGACAACCAAAGCTCCACTGCTGGCTGAACTGCTGGCATCACTTGCAGTAAGAGAAGTAACTATTACCCTGACCTAAGTGGTTTTGCTTAAAATATAGCTAGATCCTTGTGTAACGGGCACCAAACTGCTCATAGGGGAAAAAAAAAAAGTATCTCAAGATATAGGTGAGCTTTAATGGTTGCTATCAGCTCTTGAATGAGTACACTGGATGTCTCTCCAAAGGTAGGATAGTGTTTTGGGTTTTTTTCTTTTTTTTCTTTCCAACCCAGAGAAAAGACAGTTGCAAAATAATCTTGAAGGAAGAATTCAATGAGGAAAGGGAGTTCTCACACTGAGGAATGAGCCTTCATGTGACCAGAAGAGATGCCTGTCATGGGTCTTGAAAGAAGCACGAGCACTGAGACCACAACTAGCAGGGGAGGGCTGTGTCCTTCGTGGCACTGTAACTGACACCTGCAGGAACCCCTTGCTCTCTTCCCTTCCCCGTGTCTTGCCAAAGTCCCCTCACAGTTCAGCAATGTAATGGGTTTGGGGACTTTTTTTCCTTTGCTAGCTGTTAATTTTGAGAATTACTGTTTTGCTGCGCTTTAGCTACCTAAGCTTGGTCCAGGCCCTCGGCTCAGAACTCGCAAGTGCCTCTGTCAATCGATCGGCTCAAAAGGAGCCCAGGCAGCCATCATCTCCTCCAATGCCCCCCTCTCATCCCCACCTGTCTCTTAGCCACTCTCCTGCTTTGCAGGTAGCTTCACTGCCCAGCACCCACCTGAAGCCCTGCTCTCTGTGGTAAAGCCCAGACTCCAGCTCCAGCTCTCCCAGCCTCCTGCTGCCCGAGTGCTGAACCACCGTACCTGAGGCACCGTACTGGAGGCGTACGCTGTAATCCAAAAAACTCCCCCTCGTGGAAGCAATCCAAGAGCAAGGCTAGTCTCCCAGGGTAGCTGAAAAAAAGCTTTAGGTCAGATAGATCCAATATTATTTCTTAAAGTAGAGTGGTGTTCTGGGACAGGGGATGGAGGGGGACAGTAAACGTTAAGCTCTACCACCATGGAACCGCCGTGTTGGCAGGGCCCCAATTTGGGGTGAGTGACAAATGAAGTTTTTAAGAGCTTAAATTTCAGCTGCAGCTGGGAATAAATGAGAAAACAGTGCTGACCCAATGGGGACCCTTTGTCTTCAGAAAGACACCATCTTTTCGAGGCAATGGACTTACAATTGGATGCCTTTACAAGTAGGTTGGATGAACGTCAGGTACAGATAGGTCTGTCACAAGCAAGAGAATGGCTTGGAAAACCTGTTCTGTAACATGAATCCCATCTGATTGGTGGGTGGCAGACCTGTATGGTGCGGGGCACAGTTTTGTCTCCTCCCTTTGCTGACCTGTTCACACTACCTTCAGAAAAGCTCAGCTCCATCAGTTTTCACTTATTCTGTCCGTAGCAGTTTAAAATTGATGTAACTTGAGTAACTGATATAATGGACTTGGCACAAACTCAGCTTTGCTTATTAGCCTAGAGTATGCAACAAAATAATTGCAATGCAAAGACTTGCTATATCTTCTCTCAATGGAATTAATAACTGCTTCCAGCTTTTTAAGCTGATCACTGAAAAACTGGGCAAGAAAAAACGTCAGTCTGTGGAAGATGTCACTAATTGTATTCCCACTGCCACTGTTGGTTAATACTTAACTAAGTTTTGGAAGTGCTTTGGGATGATGAAAGATGCTACAAAAAAGCTAACCACTACTGTGTCATGACACGTGACAAAGTGCCATGCTTCTGAAAGGCTTTAATTTGCAAGCCAAACAACGTGAATCTTCTTAGCTCCTCATAAAAAAAAAAAAAAAAAAAGGGGGGGCTGTTATTCTCCGTAAGTCACGTGTGCTGCTCAGGTATGAAAGTCCTTATTTAGCTGCTGCATTTGTTTAAGTAATGGTGAGTGATACCTGGTGTTGGTGATCAACAAAGGCTCAGAATTTTGTCTGTGAGAACTCTTGTAGGACTACAGCCAACTCAAAGTGTAGTATGCTTAATGTTGCAGTAAATGGGGGGAGAGGGGACCAGTGGGGTGTTCAACCCCCTTAACAAGAGGTTCGACACCCAAACAAACAAAACGACACTAGTGCAGAATCCTGTAAAAAGCTGGGTGTGCCACTGAAAAAGAGAGCAGCGTGCTGGGAATCCGCTCTGAGAGTGCTGTGCGTCAACTTTGGTACTGCACATAGTGGGCTACTTTACTTGGTATGGAAGTTTGAAAACAGGCTGGAGAGAAGCTATATAAAAGAGAGACATGTTCAACCAAATAGGTTGGGCCTGAGTAAAATGAAAGAGGAAAATCTGTGTAGCAGCATGTATCT